TTCTTACAGTGTGTGCCATGGATATTAGGTAACAGGTAATAGAGACATTTGCAAAAGTAATTTGCAATAGTTCATTCTGACTCATTTCTGAACACAATAGTAGTAATTACCTTCGTGGCTGGCTTTATACATTTCTTACTAGTGGTTATGAATTCAATTTTATTTTTTGCTATTGGTTGTGCAACTGTGGAAGACATCTGAACTTTATTTCCTTCTATACCTTTAGTGAGTAAGTTAAACAGTTTTGAGAACAGTGGCTTTGTAATATAGCTTGATATCTGCTATTGTGATACCTCCAACTTTGTTCTTCTTTATCAGGATTGCTGCAGCTATTTGGGGTCTTTTTTTTTTATTCCGTATAAATATTTGGAGAGTTTGCTCTAGGTCTGTGAAATATGCCATTGGTATTTAAATGGGGGTTGCATTGAATCTATAGATTGCTTTGGGTTGTAAGGGCATTTAATGATGTTGATTCTACCAATCCATGAACACTGTATATTCTTCTACTTGTTTATATCTTCCTCTATCTCTTTTTTCAACATCTTCTATGACCTGTATGCATGCACATAAGCATAACCAATGGACACAGACACTAGGGGACCAAGGGCATGTGCTGGGGGGTGGAAGTGGCTGGGAAGAGGTCAATGTGGGGGAGGGGAGAAAGGAAACATAGGTAATACTTTAAACAATAAAGAATTTAAATTAAAAAATAGTTAAACAGTTTTGAAATGAAGAGCATTGTTTTGTATTTTTCTTAATTGGAAAAACTCCATTTATTTTGTTGAGAAGTTGTTGCGCTGTATTTGAAAAATGTTACAAAAATCTTGATGCTTTTGTGTCCATAGTTCGACTGAGTCTAATGACTGAAAATGCAAACAGGACAAATGGGTCACAGGTCTACTAAAATGAAATGTCTGGAAATTGTTATTTTTCCTGCTCACACATTTCTTGTTTGAATGCTTACCGAAATCATCACCCTCAGAGCTTAATTTGATTAACAGTTTCATTCTCCTATACTAAGTAAATACTAATGTTATTCACTAATATACATGCAAAATAATTTTGAGTTATAGTATTATTTTCATCACTATGTTTAAACTTTGTTTAAGTAATATTATATTTGTGTGTGTGTGTGTGTGTGAATTGAAGATGTAACAACATAATAGTGATGTTAAAAAACAAATAATATGGGTTTACATAAAGTCTACACATGAATGTTCATAATTTTATTTAAAATAGCCACTAGAACTAATCCAAGTGTTCATTAATGGGCTAATGAAGAGATTTTCAACCATTTTCCTCTCATGGACACATTGATTACTAAAATTCTGTGGCATGCCAAAAATATATATTTTTTGCCAATCTGACAAAAAATGTGTATAATTTTGATTCATTCACACAGGAAGCTATTGTTGTATTGGATGTTGTCATTTTTTAATTTGGCAGTCTAAGGGAAAAGAGGTCAGTGCCTCTGACTAAATAGTCAAGTATTGCATGTTTTAAAATTTCTTGTGGACACAGGTTGGAAATTGCTGGTATAATGAATAAGCAATTGTAGTTACAATGGGTACTATTTATGAACTACAAATGCACACAATGTGAGGGAATCTCAAAATCATTATGCTGAGTGAAAGAAACTAAATAAAAATGAATGCATACTATGTGATTTCATCTATATGAAATTCTAGGAAATGTAAATATTTAGTGGCAGAAAGCCTGCATACAGGGGCAGAAGGAGAGATAGACTGCTAAGGGGCATGAGGACATTTTTGGAGGTGATACAAATAAGTTTCTGTAACTTTATTTGTGCTTTTAAAAGTGTTTATAGTTTCCTTTTCTTTCAGGGGTTACATTAAAATTTAAGTTCTATTGGTTCAGAATAGTATATCCTGACACTTTAATTAACCTACTAAATTCCAAAATAAATTAATTACATAAAAAACAAACATATTAAACAATTGTCATAAGATAAAATTTGTGGCAGACAAACAAAATTTGACAAAGGGATTTCTACTTACTATAGAAAATGCTTGATTTGTTTGGTTTCTTCAATATTGCCATATGACTTAATTTTTCTTGGGAAAGATAGCATTCAAAATGGTTCTTGCTCAAGGTGGTGCATCCTTCCCCAAAAATAAAACTACATGTTACAGTCAGGGAAGAGAAAGCAAACTATTTGAAAATTGTAAAAAGTGTGTTTCTTGGTCCAGAAATGGTGTGATTGCTTGCTGTTTAACATCTGTTGGAGACTAGAGCAGGACTTCCTTGAAAGTCCTCTCCATATTAGTCAGAATAAGCAACATTATCCTGCAGTAACAAATAACCAGTGAATTTAGTTGCATAAAACAACAAGGGTAACAGCATATTTATTTCTCACTCAGGGTACATATGCACTGAAGATTGGCTAGTAGGGAGGTGGGAGATGTTTCTAGACTATTCTCACTAAGAGAACCAGAATGAGGAAGGTTCATCTTCAAGTGAACCTGCTGAAATAGAGATGAGGGAAGAGATGGAAAATCGTGTGCAAGCTGTTAATACTCCCACGCAAAAGTAATACAGATTACACTCACTCACTTTTTCTTTTCTTTATTTTTAAAATAGACCATTTTTAGAGCAGTTTTAAGTTTACAGAAATATTGTACAAAAAGTACAGTTTCTGTATACTCTTTCCCCACTCTTATGCATTGCTATGGTACATTTCTTACAATCGACAAGACAATGTTGATATATTATTATTAACTAAAGTCCATACTTTACATTAGGGTTCAGTTTTTGTGCTGTATATTCTACGGGTTTGAAAAGTGAATAATGTCCTGTATCCACCATAACAGTCTCACATGGAATAATTTCACTGCCCTAAAAATGCCCTGAGCTCCACCTGTTTATCCTTCCCTTTTCTCCCCTCTCCTGGGCAACCATTGATCTTCCACTGACTCCTTAGTTGTGCCTTTTCCCGAATGTCACGTTTGAATCACAGAGCATGCAGCCTCCCAGAGTGGCTTCTCTCACTTAGCAATAAGTATTTAAGTTTCTTCCATGCCCTTTTGCAGTTTGATTTCTCTTTGTTGTCGAATAATATTCCTTTGTATGGGTGGACTAGAGTTTGTTTGTCACCCTCACTCATATTTTATCGACCAAAGCAAGCCACAAGGTGACCCTGACTTCAGGGGAGCAGGGGAGTAGAGTCTCTAGTCAGATGCTTGGAAGACAGGAAACTGGAAATATTTTGTGAACAGCACTAATTCATCTTCTAGCCTCGTGTCTCGAAAGAAGCAAAAATGTTATGCTCACCATTGAATCTTTTTCACGTGAGGTTAAATCTAATGATAACTTAGACCCCCGATTACTGCAATGAGAAAGTAATAGAATGGACCAGAGCACTTCTTTTAAAGAAATACCCAGGGCATGTTCTCAAAGCTTGGCTGCTAGCTGTCCAAGGACTCCTCTGTGTCTGTCCTGAAGACCACGTGAGGGACAGTGCCTTTGGATTCCTAAAGGAAGCAGCCTTCAGTAGAAGCTGTACGCAGTGCAATCTAGAATACCACTTAGCATCACAAGGCCAAGAATGAAGGCTGCCTTTGGAGCTTACAGATGAAATAGCTTAATAATCATTACAGATAGTAAACACATTTTTGACTTGTTTCTGTTTCTCATCCTACACATCTGCTCACTGTGAAAAAAAAAAAAAGACTTAAAGGAACAAAGGAAGGCGTAGGTCAGAGACGAAAGATCCAGTATTGGCAGGTCCTAAAATACTTCCTTCTTGGTAACAGCAAACTAAAAGAATTATTCTTTCAGTCTCATTAGAAACTCCACTGAACTATTGAATTTTTTTTTTGTGTGGTGACTGAGTAAAAAGATAGTGTGGGTTTCCAGCTCTTGCTTCAAGCACCTGGAAGATTACCTGGAAGCATCTGTACCTGGGATACTGGGGGAAAACTGCTCTACAATGGTCTTGGCTCCCCCAGGGAGGCCACAGGGACTTACTATACATTTCAAGTTTCAAATCATGAAATTCCTCCAAAAAACCAAAGCGCTCAATCAACCATTCTTCCTTCCCATTCTTTATTCCTTCCTTTTCTAATTTCTTACTGTATTCACTTTCTCTCCCTTTTCCCCATTTTTAGATTATTTCCTTTTCTCTTCTTCCCACTCTTCTCCTTTCTTTTACACACCTGCTCCTCCTGGTGGGCAGGGTAGTGTGGGTAAAAGAGCACAACTCCTGCATGAGAAAGGCCAAGTGCCAAATCCTAATTCTGACACTTGCTTTATGATCTCAGGCAATTTATGTTTCCTTTTCATTTTTCAAATATGGGAAATGATAGATCCTAGGATATATCTATCTTGTAAGAAATTAATAAGGGAATATATATGTAGTACACTATAGATACTAGGTGCTTGATAAGTATTTATTTCCATCTCCCCTTTCTTTAGTTATCAAGTGTACCCTTAAGTGTACCTTTTAAAAAATAACTTAATACTTTTCATACAACTGCTGCAGGGCCCTGGGTTAGGCACCTATCTTAGACTCAGCTTTAATTTTCCTACTGCAATACTGAATTCGTTGTTTTATTTCAACCATATTTCATTGAACTAATTCTCTCTGTCTTAATTATTTGTAAACTGAAGAAGTTCAAAATTCAGTTAGTGGCTGTCAGAATTACTGAGCTGGCATAGTTTGACTAAAATAGGGGAACGTTTACAGCATAAGGGAAATAAAGGACAGACTAGATTTGGACAGCCGTGGCTGGAATTGGTGGCAGGGATGACCAATGACTCAGATGGAAGGTTCAAGTCCTAAACTGGCATCCGCTTGCATTCCGTGCCAGATCCAACCTTCAGGTACCACTCATCGTCATGTGCAAACTAGCCCTGGAGCTGGAAAATGGCCACCAAGGGCACAGGAGGGTGGAAACAACATTTTCCTCTGTCCTTCATGTTATGACACCTTGCTGGTTATTTACCTTTTGGTCCCTTGGAACCTTTAACAGAAAGTAGTTGCAAAGTCAGCCAGCCAGCCAGCAAGCTAATTGCCTCGGAGCCAAGCAACATTGAAGAATTTACAAGTTGTTTTCTCTTCTGCCCGCGGAATCCTGGCCAGGGTGAGCCTAGCCCTGCATCTTGAAACAGGGCTTCTCCTTTTCGTGGCATAGGTTCAATTAGCTGTTGGAATTCCAGGGAGTTAGTGATACCTCACGAGGACTGGAGGTGGGGCCCCAAGTCCCCCATCTTTTCCTAAAGGAGTCAGTGGTATCCTTGGACACAGCTAACTGAGAGGACTGAGATTTTTTTTATTCTTTTGAGCCTTGCAGGGGTGATCAAGTAAAACGTCTAGGAACCAAAGGGGGATTTCCTACGTGGTGCACCTTTGTGGTTCCAGAGTTAAACTCCAGAGTGGGGGGTTACGGAATGCTCATGCCAAAGAGTAGAAGGCCAGTTTGAATGTGGGGCCCCGTCCTGCTGGGGATGGAAGGGACGTCACGGCAGCATATGCACTGGCCTGCACAAAAATCAAGTTTAAATATTAGAGGTTCTTATTGATTTAAATAAAAAGAGAGTAAGTTGGGAGTTCCAGGATTGGTTCAGCAACTCAAAAATGTCATTAAAACCCAAGTCCGTTCCCTGTTTTTGCTTTTCCTTCCTCAGGTGTGGCACCTCATGGCTGCAAGACGGCTACTGCCACAGTGCCAAGCACCGTGTCCTCACATAACTGCGCCCGGGCAGAAGCTGAGATGCAGGCATGCTTGATGTCAGACGGGCCCTCTCTGAAAATCCATTGAATTCACACACAGGTTCACGAGGGGTATGAATGCTGGGAGTCTCCCTCTTGGACTTGAGGTATGACAAGATTTATTTCTTACTAATGCCTTGCCTTGAGTAATAATATTTAATATTCACTGAGCACTTACTATGTTCCAAGCAAAACACGTTTATATGAACATTTTAGTCAATCTTCATAACAACTCCATGAGAAAGATAATATTATTATTATCCTCATTTTACAGACGAGGAAACTGAAGCTTAGAGCAGAGTCTTTCAAACTGTGGGTCTTAACCCAGGAGTGAACGATTCAGTGGGCCATGACTAGCATTTACAAAAACTTGCATAGAATAGAATCAATGAAATACATAGTAAGTGCTTAAAACAGGTCAAGACTAATTATTGTTGTTCTATTTCAATTTACAAGTATATGTGTATATACATGTATGTGTATGTGTGTGTGTGTGTATAGAGTCCTGTGTTAAATATATTTACTATGAATGGCAGTTAAAATTTTTTGAGAGCCTATACTTTAGAGAGTTTGAATATCAATGGTAAATTATGAACCTGTAATTTGAATCCATGCAGTCTGAGACCAGACGCTGGCTCTCCATCACTCTGTCTTGCTGCCAAGTTAACTTAGAATGTGATGAGTCCCCAGTGGAGTGTGTGTGTGTGGAGAGAGAAGAACACGGGTGAGAAGCAGCTGGAGAATGGTGGAGAGGCACTGGGCACTCTGAGAACTCTCTCTGTTCCTTTTTCTAGACTCTAGGGTTCAAAGGCTTTAGTAGCAAGTGGACCAGGGAAGCTCTCTGAACAGCTGCCAGTGGGGCGTGCTGACAACTGCAGTAGCCACGGGCTCTGGTTTCCCAGCACAGCCCTGGGTGATGCCAGGCAAAATGATTGGTAGCTACCCCTTGAAGTCACACATCTCTCCTGGTTTAAACAAAATTAGTTGCCCGTTTACTCTTATCGATCAATGCCTCTCCTGTACAAAATTTAAGGGGATGAGGGGCCTCTGCTGAGATTTTTGGATGAGGAACATGAGACCTGAGAGGTGAAGTTGCATGCCAAGGTCACACAGGAAATGACGGGGAGCCTGAGCCAGAGCCCAGTACTTTCCACGAATGTAATTTGTATCATGACTGTGGCCTTTCAGAAGGTGGTGGGCTGCAGGCTGGCAGGAGTGGTCTGCATGTGCCTTCCCCGGGTGCTCATCTAAAACCCAGGAGAAGGTGTCTGACTTCTTTAGCATCAAATGTGAGCTTCCAGGTGGGGTGGGACCTTCTCATGGGAGGGCAGGGACGTGAGAATGGAGAGAAGGGGCTGCATTGCCTCTGGGCTTATTTTCCTAAGCATAGGATGAAATTTTCTTCCAGGCAACTTTTTTTTCTTTTACAAAAATAATTTGAGACTGTTTTCCAGGGCAACGTATACTGTGCAGTCTTTGTGCCCACAGCACCTGTAAGAGGGGGTTGAATCAGAGTTTTGTTCCAGATCCTGAAAGTTTATGGTCCATTTAGCTGTGAAGCAGTTTAATGTTGGCAAACTTTGGTGTTTGTTTTAGTTTCTAAAAGTTGCTAACCATTCTCCCTTCTCAGGGAGGAGAGCGGGCCTGGGGGAAAGGCAGGGCCATGATAGGGCCAGAGTGTCCAGAGTAGGCAGTGTTTAGGTAGAGACTTAATGGACCAAGGGACCTATCTGTCTAACGCCGTTAGCGTGACTGTGCTTTAGCCTGGAATCCCGGCACGAGGAGCTAAGCCCGTGGAGATGAGGGACTCCGGTGTTGCCTGAGCCCCTTCCTCTGTGACTTTAGCAAGTGTGGAATCTAATGGACAGCCATGCCCCTGAGACAAACACAGTGCTGCAGGACATAAACATTTGCCTGTTTTGCTTAGCCCTGCTCTCCTCACCTTGTTACCATGTGAACCAGAAATGCCCTTAATGTGAACATTAAATGCCCTTAATTAACTTGGAAGGAGAAAAAAATAGCTGTCCTTAGACATGGCTACACAGACCCCATGTCTGGAGCTCTGACACTAGTGTGTGAGCCTCACCCGCCATGTGTGAGACTCCGGACAAGAGGCCTAAGTGTGTCACTTGTCCTGTTCTGTGTATTAGCAGTAAGTGACATTTCCTGGAGTATGGAGTACCAACTGGCTTCACTTTGGAATTCTGGAAGCAAATTGCTTGTCAGAAACACATAAAAACAAAGATTTCATAGACACATTACAATAATGTGTCAGAGGTAAATTTCATGCTCCTATCTCATTGCTTTGTCCTTTCCCTTCATTATCATTCTTGCCGGGGTCATTCAGGACCTTGATGCCTCATGCCTGGACTATGGCAAGAATCTCCCATCAATCTCCTCCCCTCTAGACTCTCTCTAGTCCTCTTACTCCATGCAAATCCACTCCACCCCTGGCTTCCATAGTCACAATCTCTCTTCTTCGTGGGAAGAGACCAGATCCTCTTCAATATGGGCCTATCAGAACCCAGTACTTAGATGCCCAACTGATATTTGTTAAAACAATGAACACATAACCCATCTGCTACGGTGATGAGCTTGTACATGTGCAATGCCTCTATCAGGTCATTTCTAACTTCTCAACATAAGCGAGGGAGCATGGCTGTGGGAAAGAGCCCTGATCAGAAGACTTGGCTGTTCCACCCTATTCTAGTTGTCATGCTAAGAGCTTTGCATGCATTATCTCACTCACATTACAACTAACATGTGATAAAGATATTATTCTTATTCCACGTTTAAAAAGAGTTAACTGAGACCTAGTGACTAAGGGACCTTCCCAAGGCACACAGCTTCAGGCTCCCAGGCACTCAGAGTCCAAAGCCTATTTGCTTAACTACTCTGCTAACCAGCAATGCAACCCTGGCCAAATTAATAATCTCTGTCCTCAGCTTCCTTCTGTGTAAAATGAGAAGCCTGAACTCTGAAGATTCTCTTTAAATCTTGGGCAGCTATTCTGTGACTCTGCACTTCTGATTCCAAACATCCACAGAAATGCACTGTGAAACTTCAGTGAATTGTGACCCATGTTAGGAGTTGAGGGCGGATCGGAGAACCCTAGCATTCCATCGGGAAATGGCGCACATTTGCAGCCAACAACTGAAATCCGAACTCCTGGCACAGAGCCAGCCCTGCCCTCGGTCCGAATGCACAGTTCACTGGGAAGGCCATTTGGCCCGTCCTGAATCCTTAACCCTTGTTCACATCCCCATTAGGAGGAACAGTAGGCAGGCCCAACTCACTTCTAGACCAAGTGGCTGTTTGCCTGTGGGGTATAATTTGAGGGCAGTAAAGGCCTATGTGCCTGAAATAGTTGGAGAACATTGTTCAAATGACCACATGTTATTAACTGGGGTTACTAATGAAAACTGCACTCATGTGATTCTCCTGTGACTGGCATTCTTCTCAGTCATTTACTCTGAGTTCACTTTTTCTTTGTACTTTACATGTTGGATGTTCCCAGGGTGTTCTTCTCAGCTTTACTCTTTGCCAGGGTAGCCCTGTTCATTCTCATACCCAGACCTGACTTTTCCTTAAAATCTCTATTTGAATCTCTACCTGATTTCTAGATATCACAAATCTCTATATATCTTCCCCTCCCCCAGCATTTCAGAGTTCAATATTTTCCGAACCGAATCACCCAGTAGCATAATACAGAAAAAGTAAAGTATCTGTGGAATAAATAAACCTTGAAATATGAATTAATACATTAGTATAAATTTAGATGTTAGGTAAACTTTCACATATTTCTTAGGAAATTGAACTATTTTAGTTCCTGAGAACAGGGACATATCTAATTTATTGTTATATCTTTTGGACTATAGCATGGTGCCTGGACCATAATAGGTGACAAAAAATTTATGTTGAAATTAATGGACTAAATAAAAGAAACTTGGGACTGGTAGATTTTGAGAGGAGGAAAGAAGAGGTCCAAACCTGGAAGTATTGCCCAGGGAAGGCAGCCCCATGTGGGATGAGTAGGATCACATGGGGACACGATATCCCATTATACAAAAGAATAATGGAGAACAGTCCAGCTAAGAGTAAAAGTTAGACTCTGCTTACTTCACTGAATTGGTTAGGGCCATCTCAGGCTCTTAAGACATAGTCCTTGGCTCTGCGGCTGGAGAATAAATTATACTTTGGCAAATGTTGAACCATTGGTACAGACCCAGGGTGATACTTCCATGAAGACTCAGTTGGTTTCCAGAATTTCCTTTTACTTTTCGCACCATCATTTTCCCTGGGGAACAAGTCCCTGAAGTGGTCCCAGCTGTTTTTTTTGTGGCTTCCAGTGGTCTGAGCACTCAGAAGAACACGCAAAGGCAGCTAGCCAGGTGAACACTTAGAGAAGCTTTTGGAAAATATGTTTTTTCCTCTCATAGCTGGTCCTGATGAGCTGGCTGCTGGCTTGTAGACACACAAGGTGAGACAGTCCAAACTCTGAAGATGTCCAATTGAGTCAGCCGTGGTGTACTGCATCCCTATCTGCAGGCAATGGGATGCTCTGGGAGCAGGGGAGGGGAGCCTGAGCATTGGGATGTATGAATTTTATCACTGCTGCCTTGGGATAATTGTTTCAGAGATGTAGACTCTTCTTTTGGCTTAAATGAATTCTTGCTTGAAGGAAGTCCTCCTCTTAACAGAAAGTCCCTCCACTAGTAATGAGACAACGGGGATAGTTAAGAGGGTTCACATGGAAAGCAGATAGGAAGAAGGAAGACTGCTGCATTTGGTAGAGGGTAGTTGGGGCATCAGGGTTCCAGGTGAAATAGGAAGACTAGGCTACCCATATTGGAAGCTGGTCTGAAATACAGGGTGGTGAGGAGCAGGGGTGGTAGAAGGAAGGGTGGTCTCCAATTTAAAGATTAGTATAATTAGAGTGGGGCTGGCTGGTCCTGGGTCTGAGCAGTAGAAGTGACTTTAGAATGCCAAATATCAGCCCATGGTCAAGGGCCGAGTGAATGGTTTAGATCTAAGCCTAGCGGGAAGGTGGAGTTGAGGTTAACTCTTTTCTGCCCTTGCTGGAATTACTACAGGACAGCCGTAAGTTGACATTTGGTTGGTGTTTACTAGGTGAGAAGATAGGAAATTAAGAGGAAGAAGACAGCTTGAATAAAGGATTGACTAATCCCTCCTGGATTTATTTTCCATCTATTCATATCCTTATGTATTTTCATCTATTATTTTCTCTTTGATTGTCCCTTGAAAGATGTCTTCTCTTTGCTCTCAGCTGCTCATGCATATGGGCTAGGCCTAGCTTCCTGTTTTGGATTCTCAAGGACACCATCTCTATGCCTACTTTCAACTGCTACCAAGGAGCATCTATTTTTGTTTTCTATAACTTGTCTCTAATATATTGCCTTTTGGAAAACAAGCTGCTTGATCTTCCCCAAAGGATGCAGAGAAACATTTCTTTTGTAACCATAACTCTAATGTAAATTTTCTCACATAGCTACAATTTATAGCCTATTTTAGTTTTTCTTAATCTTGCTTTCTTGATTCAACTACTATATTGAACACTGAAACCAAGACACATTACCATATAGAAAAATTTAATTTTAGTGAGTTCCAGTTATTTCCTTTTTGATGCATTATCCATCTTATTTAGGAAAATATTGTGTTTTCCAGTGTCATAAAAATAATCTCATATATTTCAGAATGTATCTTAAATTGTTTGTAGATTTAAGTCTTTAATTTATATGGATGTTTTTATGTGTAGTATAACATAGAAAATGAATTTTAATTAAAAAATCTGAATAGCTAGTTGTCTTAGCACCATTTAAAAATATATCTCTTATTTATTTCAGAGAGGAAGGGAGAGGGAGAGAGAGATAGAGACATCAATGATGAGAGAGAATCATTGATTGGCCACCTCCTACACACCCTCCCCAGGGGATCAAGCCCACAACCCAGACATGTGCCCTGACCAGAAATTGAACCGTGACCTCCTGGCTCATAGGTGGACTCTCAACCACTGAACCATGCTGGACCAGGCTCAGCACCATTTTTAAATTGTGCATTCTTTTCAACAGTAACCTGTTATTAATTAAGGCTCCATATAAATGTTAGTTTTTTAATCCAAACTTTCTCTTCTATTCTGTTAATCTCTTTGTCTATCCCTGGACAAATCCATTACTTTAATTATTATATCATGAAAATAAATCTTCTTTCCTGGAAGGGCCTATCTTTGCCTTTCCACCAATAACATATCTTTATAAAGTTTTTTAAAAAATTAGAATTGCACTGAATTTATACTTCAACTTAGGAGTGAATTGATTTCTTTAAGATACGGATTCTTCCTATTCATGAATATGTTATATCATTACCTTTATTTAGGTCTTCTTTAATATTACTTCTTTAATATCACTCAATAAAATTTTATATTTCTTGATAAAAATCTGCACCATTGTTAGATTTATTTATTATAAATTAATTTGTATATTCACATATCTGTATTTGATGGGATCTTATTTAAGATTACATTTGCCAACTATTTGCTGTTAGCCTATAGAAATGAAATGAACTTTTATATATTGATGTTATAGTTTGTGTTTTCCATAGGAACAATTGTATCTGTAAGTAATAAGAGTTTTGTTTTTTCCTTCCTAATCCTTAAACCTCTTTTAAAAAAAAATATTTCTTACTGTATAAACTGGGGTTTCTAGTAAATGTTCTTTAAGTTCATGACCACGCAACTTAGATAAGCTTCAATTTAATCACATTATACTCCATTTATTGTCCCACTCTCCTGGAAAACTATTCCATACCCCTTTTCTCCTCAAATCTTCAAGACCTGCTCCTCTATCTGCACCTTCATCCAATAACATCTTTCCCCCAATGCACTGGAAAAAAATTGGAGTGATCAGAGAACTTCTACAGACTCTCAACCCCAAATCCTCTACTTCCCTGCATCTTTATCCATATATTTTGCTTTCCTGCAGATACCACAGAGGACACATTCCTAGGATTAAACCCAACGTCATCATGATGCACAGCCATTTTTAGATTTTGATTGTTTGGCAAATGTTTTGTTTAGGATTTCCCCATCTCTATTCATGAGAGAGAATGGCTTGTGGCTTTTCTTTTTCATACTTTCCTTGTCAAATGTTGGCCTTGATGTTTACTCTATCTTCATAAAATAAGACAAGGTTCATTGCTCCTATTTCTATTTTCTGGAAGAATTTGTTTTAGATTGAAATTACTTGTTTCTTGAACATGTGGCAGAACTTGCTGGTAAAACCATTTTATGTTTTCTTTGTAAAAAATGTAACTGCTGATTTATTTTTCTAGTGGTCTATCTTTCTTGAATCAATTTTGATGAAATATAATTTTCTAGGAAGTTGACTATTTCTTTTTAAAAAATATGTTTTTATTGATTTCAGAGAGGAAGGGAGAGAAAGAGTGATAGAAACATCAATGATGAGAATCATTGGTTGGCTGCCTCCTGCATGCCCCCTACTGGGGATTGAGCCTGCAATCTGGGCATGTGTATGTGTCCTGACTGGGAATAAAACCATAACCTCTTTGTTTATAGATTGACACTCAACCACTGAGCCATGTCAGCTGGGGGGAAGTTGACTATTTTAACTAAGTTTTCAAATTTATCATCATACAACTTAACAAAAAGAAGATAAACAATCCAATCAAAAAATGTTCAAAGGATCTAAATAGACACCTTTCAAAAGAGGACATTCAGAAAACCAAGAGACATATGAAAACATGCTCAAAGTCACTAATCATCCGAGAGATGCAAATCAAAACAACAATGAGCTACCATCTCACACCTGTCAGACTGGCTATCATCAACAAATCAACAAACAACAAGTGCTGGAGAGGATGTGGAGAAAAAGGAACACTCATGCACTGCTGGTGGGAATGCAGACTGGTGCAGCCACTATGGAAGACAGTATGGAGTTTCCTCAAAAAACTACAAATGGAACTCCCATTTGACCCCTTGATCCCACTTCTAGGAATATATCCCAAGAAACCAGAAACACCAATCAGAAAGGATATGTGCACCCCTATGTTCATAGCAGCACAATTCACCATAGCTAAGATCTGGAAACAGCCTAAGTGCCCATCAGTAGATGAATGGATTAGAAAACTGTGGTACATCTAATTAGTTATTGATAGAATTTAGCAATACCATTATTTTTTAAATTGAGATATAATTGACATAGAACATTATATTAGTTTCAGGTGTACAATTAGATATTTCTATATATTGTGCAATTATCACCTCAATAATTCTAATTAACAACACTAATTAAAAATTCTGTTGATTTCTATATATTAATTTATATTCAGCAATTTTGCTACATTTTCTTATTACTGTAATAGTTTGTAGTTGGATTTTCTTTGTTCACTATCAAATCATCTGAAAATTGAGACATTTTTTCTGTTTCTTTTTGTCTTATATATCTTTTTTAAAGACTATTATATCTTTTGAAATTATAATAATAAGCATAATAATAATAGTTATTATTTTGTCTTGTCTTATAGTACAATGGCAATTAAAGTGGTTAAAGTGGTACCTTTATCTTTTTTTCTGAGTGTAATGAAATCTCTCTAAAGTTTTACTGGTGTTTAACACCCATCTCACTTTACTTCAAAAATGTGTGTGTGTGTGTGTGTGTGTGTGTGTGTGTGTGTGTGTGTGTGTGTGTGTTACTTCAGGGCCCAAAGAACCGAAAATAACCTTTTCCAGACCAGATATGATTTTTTGGACAACTGGATGTGCCTGCATGAATTTAGAAAAACCTGCAGAAAAAAACAAAACAAAAACGACAGAAAACTCCAAACCACACTGTAGGCTCAGCACAGATAAAGAATCTGACCTGTGGCTTGAGCCCACCAAGGGTACAATGGGCTTACCTACACCGAATAAAGCCATCTAGTCCTCACCATCCTTAAGCACATGGCATCTTACTAAGCTAGAAGAATGCAGGTTCACAAACAGTCATATGCCAAGTTTCCACTTAGATCGAAAAGCAAAGAATAAAGGGAAAGAGGAAATGCTTCTTCCTTTATAGCCTATATTATTGTCCAAATAATATATCCTTTTTGCTGAAAAAATAAAATACAGCTTAGCAAAAAGAGGGAAATAAATTATTGATAACTCTTCCTTCCAGGGACATTTCATTGGCAAACTCTTTACTCTTTTTCTATGAATATTGTTAAAGTAAGCAAGGAGGCTATTAGAATGAAGTGTCTCCAGTGCTGTGGCAGCCTACGTAAGCAACCCAAAGTCTAAGCCTGTAATTTCCTCAACATTATGAAATTAAAATTCTAAGGACAACCAATCATTAACAGCCAAATAGGCTTTATGCTATAGCCAATCAATCATTTATTTTTACTTTGCTTCTCCTTTTCTCTACAAAAGTCTCTCCCTGCTATTGGTGGAGCACTCTTAACTGCTTCTGGTTTGGTGCAGGCAGATTCTAATCAATTTTTGCTCAAATAAATCTTTAAAATTTCTAACTGCCTCAGTTTATCTTATAACAGCTCATAGCACAAACATTTTCTTAAGTCATTATCTGATTTTTATCAGCCCATGCACGACAATCTTTAGGGTTTTATTGGTTAGTAGTTTGTCTTAGAGAAGATGCCACTTACGTCCAACATGACTACTGGATACAGTGTCTGGAGTGGAAAACAGCTGTGTGGCACCTAATTCTTTTGGAGAGACATTCCCCACCAGTACTTTGGGCTGCTTGGATGCTCTTTCAGTCATTGGTGTCCCAACTCATTTTTTCAAATGGAAACATTTACTAAAAACAACAAAGAGAGATGGAGATATCTTGGAGATAAATTCACATAAACATTTCCAGGGCTTAGATATAAACCATATAAAACAGTCCCTATGAGAACCAAATTGAAGAAAATGTGAAGGTAGAAAATAGTAATTTCACCAGTTGAGGTTCTATGTCATGTTATCCTCTTCACAACTGACAACGAATAAGTTTGCAAACACTGAAAAAGAACTATCCAAACAATATGGGGAACTTTTTCCAGAGGAGTGAAAGGAAAAAAACATTTTCCCCTTTATTATTTTGCATTTTGCCACCCCAGTTTCACAATGGGAGGACCCATAATTTTGTTTTCTTAGACTAACAATCTCCCCCGCAAAAGCCTGATGAACTTTAACTGCAGCCTTGGCCACGTTTTTCAAGGCAAAACCATTTTGTTGACTCCTGATGTTGGAGAGATGCCAACCTATCAGGCTGAGCCGGCTCCTGGTGAGAATTCTGTTCAAGAATCCGGGCTTGAAAAAATTGTTTTCTGAGAAGGATTTTATGTTTATAGACATTCTGTTAATCTGTTCATTATTTACGATGGTGTTAAGGACAAGAAGCTTACAGTAAACTGGACCAAGACTAAATTTTACTGGCACTTAGTAGTTATAAAATCCCTGTGTCTTATGGAGTCTGTTTTTGTTTCTTCCCATCTCCCACCCATACAAGAGAAATGCATGCACGGTCCTGGAAAACCTGAGTCAGTGATGGGCTCTGTGAAAAACTAGTCTTCCCCAGCACACATATTCCCTGTTTATGTCTTTCTCTTTTTCATAAAGTAGGCGATTGGCCTCTTGGAATAATATGTGGAATTCTAATTGTTCTCAAAGAAGATATGTGGCTGTTTTTTCCTTTGTCCAAAATAGAAGGGAAGGCCAAATAGTTTTTCATTAGTGTTGAATGAGTCATGACTTCTGGTCATAGTTCAGTAGAAGAGCAGTTTATCATTGACAACTATTCTGAAGGTCAGAAGAGCTTTTTGACTTCCTCTTAGGCATGGCTCTTCTAGATGGCTTTTTATGTCTACCATCCCCTTCCCCTACCCCCACTCCCAAACATTTCCACCCTACGAATAGTTTTAAGATTAGCCATACAGAGGACTTTTTAATGTTATTCATAACCATTCTTTGTTTCAAGGAAGGTGTAGAAATGCCTAGAAGGAAGAAAGGTGCTGGGTAGAGTACTAACTGAAAATAATTAGTTAAGGGAAAGATCATACATGGGAAGATAGAAAATAATATCAATAGTATATGCCAAACTGCATCCAGGATGCACACTCATGTCATTGTCCAGAGAAAGGAAATCTGATTTCATAGGATACATTAGCCCAGGGTAGAATAACTGATGTATCGTACAAGCCCAGATTTGAAACAACAGACTTAAAACAATAGGAGGTTATTTCTGGCTCACTGAACCGTTGGGTATTTGGTGGGGAATATTACAGGGGTAATTCAGGAACTCATACTCCTTCTATCTCTGGGTTTCAACCTCTTTTATTTACACAGTCTTCTCTATTGATCTGATGACTGGGGAGAGAATTAGAGGATTGCATACAGGAGGATTTTATCAGCACATCACTGTGCCAACATTCTATTGGTTACAATTCTGTCACGTGGTCACATATAACTGCAAGAGAGGCAGGAAGACATGGATTGCCATGTGTCCAAGAGGACAAAAAAAAATGAGTTTTGATGACACATGGCAGAGGATGAAGATACTTTTTAGGAGAATTGAAGGAATGATAGAGTCCCAATAAACTCACTGTTTAAGCAGTTGCATCATTAGTTCCTTCCCCCATTTCTCTTTTAGCCTTTGATTCTGAGTCTACATATTAACCCAGTCTCCTAGCTAGGAGTGCATCTCATAGAGAAAAGTGCCTTTCCTAGAGGGCATTCTCCTTTACTGAGTCCCTGATGTCTTCTGGAGGATGTCACTGAGACCCTTAGCTGTCATACTTTGCTGTTAGAAGAGAAACAGAAGACTTGATACCTGCTTTAGAGTACTAGAGCAATTTCCTTGACAAGATGAAATATATATATATATATATATATATATATATATATATATATATATATCAAGTAGAGAATAGTCCATAACTGTAGATTACTTAGGTTTAGGGGGTTGATGAAATACACGGTGCGGCCATTCATATCATCACAGCTATAGTGTGTTACAACTTTCTTGTGTACAAAGGTGGGATAGTTAGTCTCAAATAAAATAAATTGGTGAAACAGTCTTGACTGGCTGGGTTGTCATTATTGCAGCTAAAGAATCCAATGTGCTGCCTCTTTATGAAGAATATACATCAGGCAAAATAGGAGAGATGATGCAGGCCAACCGATTTACTTTGGTGTGTGTATGTGTGTATGTATGTATGCATATTCTTTTTAATGTACATGCTTTTAATTTTTGTCAGGGAGAGTCCTATCTTATTTTAATTTCCAACTTTCAAAGAAACTCTTACTTCTCACAGGAATTCTTCAATAAGCTTTAGGTGAAGAAAGGATAAGATAATTTAAGAATATAAAAGAAATGAGATAAACTAAAATTAGGCCATTGAAGCCTGTCTCCTTCCTGCTCCCACTAAGAAACTGCCCCTGCCTGAGGGTCAGGAAGATGGGGTATAGAATGACCCTCACAAATAGACAAATGACTGCCTCCACTGCTGTGGAAACAGCACTACTGACTACTTCCCAGGGCTCAGGATGCCTCAGATTTGCCATCACAAGCAGGTGACGAAAGGGAATTCTCTGGCTTTGCATAGGACTGGCTGAAATTCTGTTATTGGAAATTCTCTGAGAAGCTCATGCAGGAAAAACTTTTCCCCCTTAATTTATGAGATCCCAAAT